ATGCTTCTCTTACACATTAATGTTTCTCTCCTCTTTCTCCCTCCCTTCCCCTCTCTCTAAAGATAAAAAATTAAAAGAAAAAAACAACTGTCCTTATTTGCAGATGACATGATTTATGTAGGTGATCCAATGAAATCTACAACAAAGATACCAAAACTATTGTGAGCTTAGCAAGGTTTCAGGATAAAAAGTCAATATACAAAAACCAATTGTACTTCCATATATTTGCAAAGAACAATAGGACTTTGAAATTTTAAAAATGAACTTGAAAATAGCATAAAATAGCCCTAGCAAATGTGGCTCAGTGGTTTAAACGCCAGCCTGTGGAGCAAAGGGTCGCTGGTTTGATCCCCAGTACAGGGCACATTTCTGGATTGTAGGCCAGGTCCCCAGTAGGGGGCATGCAAGATGCAACCATACATTGATGATTCTCTCCCTCTCTTTCTCCCTCCCTTCTCCTCTCTAAAAATAAATAAATTTTAAACATCTTTTTTAAAAATAGCATACATTAAAAAAAATAGCATAGAATATTATGAAATATATGCAAGATTGGACCTGAAAACTACTTGGCACCTAGTAAGTACTCAATAAATATTGAATGAGGAAATAAAGTGGTAGGTCTAAACTCAAGGCTGTGCAGTCTGTCAAGAAAGCTTCTACTCCTATCCTTTCTCAACAAATAACTTTTATTATATAAAAATATTGTCTTTGAGTTAAGGTTTACTATTTAATTTCCATAAATACAATAATGTTGGTCTTTTGATAATAGCTACCAAAATGCCTGCAACCTTCTAGCACTTGTTGGCAATGAAACTTGAGTACTAAGAGAATAGTATTAGTTTAAACCTTAAAACATCTTCAGAATCCCTTCACCTTATAAAAATGAGGAATGGAGGCCGTGGCCAAGGCCATTGCCTTAACGAAGGGGTATGTGCCAGTTCCCTCTTTCTGCAAACTTGGAAAGAATGTCTTGTCTCAACTTCCTGCAAAAATTTCAATGGTTGGCCACACCTTTGTTTGTGACCATTTTACTATTTTGAATCATATCAAAAACAGGCTATTAGTACCCAAAGTTACTGGAAGATGCAATAAAAGTTGCAGCAGCTGAAATATCTTTACATTCTAAACTGTAATGACAGAGTCTGAGTAGAATGTCTTAGCTCTGCATAGAATGGAATAGGGAATTAGTTCTGAGTGTAGACCTGGGATTGATTTTCATTCCCTAATCTTCAGGAGTCAGGGTAGACCCTTCCAAGTGTCACCGAATAATGAACCCATTGAGGGAGGGGCCCAGATGCTGTTACCGAAACAACGCCCCCCCTTTCCCGGGGTCCCTCAGTTTTAGGTCCTTTGCCTGCTGCCCTAGAAATTATGGTGCTCAATGAATGACAGTTTGGCGAAAAGGCAAGAAACTTATTTATTCAAAAGTTATACACGTTTTGAATAATGGCTAAATGTCGTTGTTAAAAATCTCAAAATCCCTTTAAAATACCCACCACCACACCCAGTCCTGCCTCCCCCGCCTCCCTTGCCCAGTCAGGCCAGTCAGGGGCACCGCCCTTCAGAAGAAAAAGAACAGAAGCCCGGGGCTCAGCTAGGCAGGCCTCTCGCGGTTCCCAGCACCATCCGCTGCGTCGCCGCGATCTCCAGTTCTTAGTCCAAAACCCTCTGGCACCTTCTCAGGGCCCACTAGCAAGAGTCCTTTCTCCTCTTTCCTTCCCACATGGTCTTCACACTGTTCCCCAGAGTCTGTGTCCCGTTCTCTCTCTCACAGGCCCTGTCTCCCCCTCCCAGTTACACCCTGCTTCCCAAGCCGCGTGGTCAAAAAGCCTCACGCATGGCTGCTGTGCCTGGGTTTTAAACCCCTGCGCAAATCCTCCCCCACAACCCCATCACCGACTCCTTCAGCAGACGCTGTAAGGGGCGGGGAGGTGGGGGGAGCTGCTTCCCAGTGCCCTCCTGGGTTAAACTTATGCAAACCTTCCTGGTTAGCCTTGTTGATATGCAAAATAACCATCTTTACATATGAAGTGTGAAGGTATCCTCCTGTTATTGACATGCAAGATAACTCTCAATGGCCCTGCTCCCTGCTTCCCATTCCCCACGGCAGCCCACCTTGGGGGCCAGGTGAGACATCCTATATTTTTCTTGGACACCCCAATTTCTGGACCGCGTTACAGATCCCCTTTGAGGGGGCCCTGGCTGTGCCTTGTTACAAAAGAAGAGCTAAGTTCCCTCAGAAGACAATGTAACAGTAGGGGAAAACCATTCTCATGTGATATTAAGTTAAAAACGTAGGCTAGGCCTTTGGCGGGTAGCTCAGTTGATTAGAGTGTGGTCCCCATAAACCAATGTTGCTGGTTTAATCTCTGATCAGGGCACATATTGTACAAGAGTGCATTGAATAAGTGGAACAACAAATTGATGTTTCTATGTCTTCTTTCTATAAGTTAATTTTTTTTAATTGTAGGATATAAAACGGCATGTAGATTGTCATTTTTACTACAATAGTGTTTTCCTGAAGAGGCAGAGATTTCTGAAACTGGATTCCTTTATTTCTGAAAGTTTCAGCTTTGCCCCTTTCAACTAAAAGGGGCCTCTATCAGAACCACGGGGCGGTTGGCAGGACCATCCCCGAGTTCCCCAGCACATACAGGAAGTTGTTTCATCCCCAGATAAGACTGATCACCAACCTCATGCACCAGGTGGGCACTGCCTGGACCGTTTAGTTCTCTGACCATATATTTTTGCCTTGATGGCTGGCGCAAGTATCAGGATTGGCACATTGTCACTGAGCCCCCTGGAGACTATCCAGATGGAAAGGATTATTTCCCCATTGGCCACCCCTCTGGAGAGTGCTGTGTGGCAGAAGAGGGAAGCACATGTTCAACCTGACCTATAAACATAACCTAACCAGGACGGAGTCCCCTACTCTGCCCTTCACTAGCATGTCAACATGGGCACATTATTTCACGTTCTCGAGCTTGTGTTTCCTGACCTGTAACAATACAACAGTCCCTACTACTTATTTGTCCCCCACTGGTGCCAGACATCGTATTAATAAGAATAATTACGGCCCTGGCTGGGTGGTTCAGTTGGGTGGAGTGTCATACCGATATGCCAATATTTCGAGTTTCATTCCTGGTCTGGGCACATTCAAGTATCAACCAATGAATGCAATGCTGGGTGGAAGAGTAGATCATTGTTTCTTCCTCTCTCTCTCCCTCTTTCTCAAATCAATCAATAAAAAATAATAATATTATGACTTCAAAAAAAAAGAACCCTCATCATGTTAAATGGCAACCCTGGGGACAAGCCCGCAGCCGTTCTATGACTTAACAGCCAGCCTCTCTATCCCCATAACCAGTCGGAGGTCTCGGAGACAGCCGCGAAAGTATTCTCTCCCTCCCTTCTGATGCTCAGCACAGTGTGGTCTTCCAGCCTGTTTGTATCCACAATCAAACCAGATGAGATTTAGGGATAAAGAAGGAACAAAGAACTTTACAACTTGAAAAAGTGTTTTGCTGTTGAACTTCTATTGCTACATTTTAAATGCTTTGAAAAGGGCATATTACTTTAATTTCACAAGTGATACAATATTGATTTCATAGACAGGTTTCCTCCCATACCTTGCATCAGCAAGTGTCTTAGCGAAATTGGTTGTTTGTCCCATATCTGGGTAAATAGTGCTCTCATTCCTCTCAGTTTAGCAAGGGTTGATAGGAAACTACCATAAATGAATGACAAAAAAAAAAAAAAAAAAAAAAAAAAAAATCTGGCTGGACTCTATCTTCTTGTTCTTTAAAATGATATTAAAAGTTCCATATTCTGCATTCAGAGTATTCTAAGAAATCACTTAGTGTACATTCTGGCGCTGTTATATTCTGGCTTAAATGTCTTTTCTGCCCTCCAAAAAGTGAAGAGAAACCATAGGATTCACAGCAGCTCAATTAGAACATACTAAATTAAAAATTTCTAATTGCCAAAGCCTGTGAGAGACCGGCTTTCTTCTTCAATAATCTGCATACTCAGAAAGATGCGCCTGCCCTCTTCAGGGGTTTCCCCCCGTTATTCTTCTGTAACTCTGCAGGCGTACTAATCTTCAGGTGTTAAAATTTCAAGCCCTAATGGATACCACAGGCTCGACATTCAAAAATTATTATCTTAACCTAGTTTTCTTCTCTAAAGTTGTCAAGAGGGAAAAACCTCAAAGGTTATATTTAGACTTTCGTAAACCATTAGGCTTGTCTATCTGGTATTTCAATTTTGCAGAAAATCGCGAAAAAAATAAATAACATGAGGCAAAGTGTAGACACGCATCTGATGGCATATTCATAGATGAAACCACGGAGAAGCTTCCCCAAATCCCAGTTCTGGATTCCCTTTACTGCATGCTCATCCATCCCCTCTCCAAGCCCAATATGCGTTGTAACCCAGGAAAGAAATGCAAGCTCTTATTTGCTCAAGGAGAAAAAAAACAAGCAGCCCACGAGTGGAGCATCTCATTCTCTTCTTGCCATCAACAGGCTGGCTCGTATCCCTCTGCCAAATTGATACCAGCCTCTAGGGATCCCAGCGGACCAAGCGTAAAACCCCTATCTCCACCGCTCTTCTGAGGACACGTGTTCTTCCTGCCAAGCTCAGCGGCCAACCCCGAGCTCCGCCCCGCCCCGCCCCGCCCCGCCCCATATTTTCTAGGCCCCGCCCACCTCGCCGCCGGCCAATCGCGTCAATGACCCCGCCTATCCGGCTCCGGCCTGCCGCCTTTGTTCTCCCTCGCTCTCTCTTTCAGCCTGTGCGCTCCCGGCAAACCGAGTGGCAGCTGCTGATTGGTGGCCGCGGCGCAGCCAATCAGAAGGGGGCACCTCACGTTAGGACTCGGAGCTTTAAACGCTAGAGCCGCGGGGCGCGCGGAGGAGGCTGGGGAGGAGGGCGGGCACGGAGGGCGGTGCGGCGGTGCTGGGACTCGCAGCGAGGCGCGCGCGGCACCCCCTGATCGGGCTGGGATTGGCCGGCCCTCGGCTTCCCTCGCCCCCAGCCAATCGCCGGCGAGGACTTCCTGGGGGGGTTACTTTACTGTCTCGCGTTTTGGTCGCCAGACCAGACCCCCAGGTCCGGGATCGCTCGGCGGCCGCTGGCGACAGGAGGCTGCGCTTCCACCGCCGTGATGAGACCCGGGAAAGCCTGCCTGCTGGTCCTGCTCCTCGCTCTGGTGCAGCTGCTGGCCGTGGCCAGCGCTGGGGAGCCCGACGGAGGTGAGCGGCCGTGCGGCTGGCTGGGCCTGCGGGCTGGAGAGCGCCGCGCGCGGAACCGGGGATGGGTACGACCTGGGACCGGTTGGTTCTGCGCGGAGCCTCTCCGGGACTGACGCCGGCGCCAACTTGCTGGAGTCTAAGGGGCGGTGGCGGGGTGGCCAGCATCGCAGAGATTCCAGGAGAGCAGCGCGGTGAAGGGGCCGGAGCTGCGGGGCCTCTTTGCAAACCCCCTGCCACCGAAGCTCGGACGGGAGAGGGTGCAAAGTGCCTTCCTTGCAATTGGCTCCTTAGTCCTGATTCTGTTCAGATTTTCCTGAGGTCCAGGTTCCCGAGAAGAAGAGTTGGAGAATTTCTTAAAATTTCCAGGCGAACGCGCCAAGGGAGTGTGAAGGAGACGGAGCCACTGATTTTCAAATAGGATTCATAGGAGGCTGGGGCAGCCGCGGGCAGCAAGCATTTTCCTTTTTAAAAATGTAGATTTGGACATAAGTGCCCCAAGGGTTCTGGTTCGAGGGGTAAAAGGATGACTTAGTTTGCGTCTTGTAAAAATCGGAGATACCAGTTCCTCAGCGATCATTTATACAGCACCTAGTGGGTGCCCGTCCCCGCTCTCGATTCTGGGAGTCAGAGAGTGTGTGGTCCCTGTACATGAAGCGCCCGCCTTCGCAGGGCCGTAGGACAGCTCCTAGTCATCGGTCCTGCAGTTTGCTTTGAAATCAGCTAGCTCAGAACAAGTGGCTAAGAGGACTTTGAAAGTTAGAAAGAACAAGGCAAAAGAAAGCTACTCTGGAGAACAGGGCGTCCTGTTACTGGTCTCAGCTTTCTTCTTCGCTGGACTTTCTCCTGACGACTAGTTTTTTTTTCCCCTAGTGAGTTTGTTTCAATATAAATAATACCCCTTTTCTAATATTAGCGTGTAGGAAACTGTGAACTTTATACTCTTTCAAACAGATTGAGTAACATCTCTGGGGTCACTGAATCAAGAAGCCTTACCCAAATAGAAAAGGAAGTAGAAGCCAGCACCTAGTGGAAAAAACACCTGCCGAAAGGCCCTCGATAGAAGCGTGGCCCTACAACTGTGACTTGGGTCCTTTACCCAAATCACCTGGTGCTCATTTAAATACAGAGTCCCAAAATATACCGAGGCAGAAGTTGGGAGTGGGGTGGGTAGGGGCAGCCAGGAGCATTTTTAAGCAAGTTCTTCATGGATTCATAGATAGAATAAGTTTTAGGAAGCACGTTTAAGTTTGAGGACCAGTGGGGATGGAGGATACTTCTTGAAATGTAGCTAAAAAGTAAAATCAGGTGGATACCAAGGGCTACTAATAGCATGTTTATCATTTGGGTCACAGGTCAATAGAGCTGTGGGGGCCCGGGAAGCGCTGCCTCTGGGGTGAGCCCAGGAACTCTGGAGTTGTCCTGGTCAAGGCAGGTCCCCTAGGGCATCCTCTGGGAATGGGTGGCGCTTCTGGTCTTCATCTGGACTCTTTCCATCCTGTGGGTGTCCCTGGCCCTTTGCCTTAAGCGCCTATCACAGATGGGACGCGTCCTGTGGATTTATTTCGGGCTGCACTTTCCTCTGCCCCAGATGTGCTGAGTCCACAATGCCCTCAGTTTTTGCCGACCTTTCATACTTTTTAGATTCAAACAACCCGGTAGTGTCTGGGCTCTAATGTCCCCCAAGAATGTGGCTGCTAAATAGAGCTTGAGCTCTGAGACCTAACCTCAGTGTGCAGGGCTTTCAGTCTCAGATTAGAAATCTCTGCTACTTTCAGTCTCAGATTAGAAATCTCTTCTACTCTTTGTACCTTTCCCACTAACAGTGAAGGAAGATATTTTGATGCCTGTTTTTATTTGGGATTGGTTTAGTTTTTTTTGAAGTGGAAATAAGTGTAATGAAAATAATTACAAGATTCTCTAACGTAGGTCCCCACCCCCTTACCCGACCTGCTTTTACCTCATGCTGAGGAGGATGGCACCCTTCCAGAAGGTGTGTTTCTACCCAAGAACACCCAACTTTTTATCTTTCTTTGTTCCCACATTTTATTTTTAAAATATATTTTATTGATTATGCTATTACAGTTGTCCCAATTTTTTCCTTTGCCTCCCTTCATCTAGCACCTCTCCTTCCCGCCAGCAGTTCCCCCCTGAGTTCATGTCCGTGGATCGTGCATGTGAGTTCTTTGGCTTCTCCATTGCCTATACTGTTCTTAACATCCCTGTGCCTATTGTGTGCCTATCAATTTGTACTTAATCCCTGCATCTTTTTGCCCATTCGCTTCCTTTCCTCTCCCAACTGGTAAGCATTCAAATGATCTCCACTTCTGTGATTCTCTTCCTGTTCTAATTGTTTGCGTAGTTTGTTTTTTAGATTGAATTGTTGATAGTTGTGAATTTATTGCCATTTTAATGTTAATTTTGATCTTTTTCTTAAGTAAGTCCCTTGAACATTTCCTATAGTAATGGCTTGGTGATGAGGAAGGAACTCCTTTAGCTTTACCTTGTCTGGGTCCTACTTTATCTGCCCTTCAATTCTAAGTGGTATCTTTGCTGGGTAGAGTAATCTAGGTTGTAGGTCCTTACTTTTCATCACTTTGAATACTTCTTGCCAGTCCCTTGTAACCTACAAAGTTTGAGAAATCAGCCTACAGTCTTATGGGAACTCCTTTGTAGGTAACTCTGCTTTTTCTCCTGCTGCTTTTCAGATTCTCTCTTTATCTTTAAACTTTGGCACCTTAACCATGATGTGTCTTAATGCGATTCTCTTGGTGTCCATCTTATTTGGGATTCTCTGTGCTTCCTGCACTCGCATGTTTATTTCCTTCACCAAGTTAGGGGAGTGTTCTTTTATTATTTTTTCAAATAAGTTTTCAATTTCTTGCTCTTTCTCTTCCAGCATGCCTGTGATTCAAACGTTGGTGCGTGTGAAGTTGTCCCAGAAGCTCTGTACTCTGTCCTCGTTTTTTTGGATTCTATTTTCTTCTTGCTAGTCTGATTGGATGTTTTCTCTTCCTTATATTCCAAATCATTACTTTAATTCTCAGTTTTCTCCCCTCCACTGTTGATCCCCTCGAAATTTTTCTTTATTTCACTTAATGTAACTTTCATATCTGCCTGGGTCTTTTTTATGCTGTTGAAGCACCTAAACAGTTCCCTGAGCATCCTGATAGCCAGTGTTTCAGACTCTGCATCGGATAGATTGCTTATCTCGATTTTGTTTAGTTCTTTTTCTGGGGTTTTGGTCTGTTCTTTCATTTGGGCCATATTTCTCTGTCTCCTCATTTTGGCAGCCGCCCTGTATTAGATACTACGTATTAGGTAGAGGTGCCTCGACCCCCTTTCTTAGTAGTGCGGCCTAATGTAGAAAAGCACAGGGATATGTTGGATACGGCAGAGCCTTGGCTAATTGCCAGGGCGGGGCAACCCTGGGAGCCAGGCTGATGGAGTCAGATATGGCTGCTGCTCTGTGGCTCTGTGTGCGGGAGGGCTCAGAAAAGAAACAGTCCCCACTGCCTGACTTCTGGAGTTTTGCCCCGGAGGAGGAAGCTGCTGCCCTGTGCTAGAGCCCAGAGGGAGTGAGCCTGAGTAAGTCCTAAGTCTGTTGCAAGCCCTTGAAGAGGAGACGCCTGAGAATCCTGCAGTTTCTTCCTCTGCCCCAACCCCCACTGGTTTTTACAGACAAAAGCTATGGAGACTTACCTTCCTGGCACTGGAACCCGCGGCTGGGTGGCCCGGTGTAGGGGTGAGATCCCTCGCTCCCACGATATCCCTCCCGATTTTTATTTGGGACCAGCATCTCCACCCCTCCTACCCGTCTGAATGAATGTGACTTCTTTAATTCCTTGGTTCTCAGATTTGCCATACAGCTCAATTTTCTGATGGTTCTAGGTGGTAGTGGTTTTGTAGTTTAGCTGTAATTTTTGCTGTGGTTGTGCAAGGAGGTGAGCTGTGTTTACTTAGGCCTCCATCTTGACTGGAAGTCTAAGAACATCCAGCTTTAAAAGTGAGGCCTGTGAAGAGTGGTCTCCCCACTAAAATGTGTGTGTGCCCTTTGCAGAGAAGTGTGGGTTTCTAGTAGGTGGGAATATAGAGCCAGAACCTTCTCAAATGGCAGAGGAATTGGTCCTCATGAGAAACGAGTCACCCTTAGCTCCAGCCCGTGATCACTCACGAGCGCCCCATCCCCGGTGGTGCTCACGGATCGCGTCAGGCCAGCATATGTAAGGAAGCTTCTTTGCTCCTCTTTCTGTAAAGTGCAGCTTATCCCAGCGCGTTGAGCAGCTTACGAAGTCCCTCTACCTCCCCAGCTGTGTTTCCTGGCTGGTAGAGCAGACTGAGTTCCCCGGCGCCCTCCTCCCAGCCTTTCTCCACTCTTTGCATCTGCCTGCAAGTAAATTTGATTCTGCAAGCAAATCCCACCAGGCCGAGCAGCCAGGCCGTGAGTGGGTGTATATGCGCGGCCCACGAGTCCTGCCTAACTGGCCGCAGGGGGCCACCCGCCCCCAGCGAGCCCCCAGATCCGGGCCAGGGTGTGCAGTGCCTCCTAGGCGCTCCAGCCGGAGCAGAGACCCCCACGTCCAGCCCCCAGGTTTGCAGCCCGCAGGCCGGTCATTCTGGGTTGGACTGGCAGGTGAGGCTGTCCTCCCCTGCGTCCTGCCCCCTTCCCTCCAGGAAGCCTCATCCTGGGCGCTGCCCGATGACAGTGCTGGGGCCCTGGGGCCTCTGCAGGCCGGTCCGCCCCGGGTTCCTGCCGTGGAGGAGGGGGTGGTGGCAGGGGGGGGGCGGGGGACGTTGGAGGGCTGTGGCCCGGTGTGCGGGGGCAGGGCCAGGAGGGAAGCCGAGGGAACTTGTCCCAAGAAACACGGGCATCTGCCTGGTTTGTGCTTCTCAAACTGGTGGGTTTTCTTTGGGGGTTAGAGCTGTGTCTCCCTCCCCCCACAAAGGAATGTGAGAGTCAGGAAGAAGGAGTGAAGTGTGTTAAAGGGACGTGGTTGGGGAAAGTGGCTGGTGGAGTGGGGGTTTGGCCTGCTTTTTGTAATTACTTTGCAGGTTGGTCGATTATATCGATAATGAACAAAGCGCTGCTGCGGCGCCCCCCCCCCCCCCGCCCTCTGCCCTGTTCCCTGGCTCCTCTGAGCAGCTACAGGGCCATCCCTGAAGTCGTTAGGGGCAGGGCTGAGACCGGGCAAGTCCCAGCGGTTCCAGGATCCCAAGGGCAGGTTTTCATGCCCTGACCTCACCCTCAGCCCCAAACTTGGTAACTGTCAGTCTTGCTTCATCTCCGGGGAAGCATCTCCAAACACGGATAATTGGCCCCTTGAAATGCTCTGGCCTCGGAGTTGGTGCAGTCCTGGCACCTGCTGTACTTGCTTCAAGCGCACTTGCTGATGCGACCAAAGCCAAAGAGCCAGAAGAGTAAGGACCGCAGTCCCACAATGCCTGGTGTCTGTAGCTCGGCGAACCAGTTTTATCGGGACCTCGATGGTGAGATGTGCTTGGCCTCTCTGTTCCGGAAGAGAAGTTTGCTCCAGGCGGGGGAGCACGTCTCTAACGGAGCCGTACCCTGAGCACAGCTGCTGGGAGCCAGACGGGATGTGCAGAGCAGGGCTGAGGAGGAGCCTGGCCCCAGGGCGCGGCCGGAAGGACCGCGGGCGCGTTGCTGGGGGACGGTGGGCCAGAGCTCACCGCAGAGCAGAAGGGGCTGACATCGGGGTCTCTGTTTGGGCAGGAGGCCTGCGGGGCGGCGGTGGGGGAGAGGTGGGTGCGACCTCTGGGGAGGGGCAGTCCTCCTGGGGCACTTAGACTTTAAATTCTAGGTCTGTGGTTTTCAGGCATCTTTTAACCGTGACCTCCCTCTGAATGAAATCTTAAGTAGCCACCCGATATGCAAACTTAGAGCAGAAGTTCTGGGGTGGCACATCCTGAGGGCGGTGGCCCCCAGGGACCACTCAGGACCCTGACACATTTTTAAGGGTTGGGGCTCCAGGAACATTTTTGAGGAGAGTCACCGGTTTCCTAACCAGTCTGGGTATTTTGCACTCAGATTCTAATAAAGAAGAAGCCATGGAGGAGGAAGACGAGGAGGAGGAAGACGAGGAGGAGGATGATGACTTGGAAGTTAAGGAAGAAAATGGTGTCTTAGTCCTAAACGACGCGAACTTCGATAACTTTGTGGCTGACAAAGACACGGTGCTGCTGGAGTTCTACGCCCCGTGGTAAGAACCCATGTGCCGTTCCTCCGCCCGCCTGCCCGACCTGGCAGGGCGGGAGTGGCCGGGTGCGAGCCCCGGGTTCCGGGTCGCCAGCAGCTCAGCGTTCCGTTCTGCCCGTTTGCATCGTGCATCGTGCATCCTGCATCCTGCGAGCCAGCCCTTACAGAATGTGGTTCCCAGTGGCTTAAGATAGGAACAGGTCCTCTGTCAGTGACAGCTGCGGAAGGGGGCAGTGTTTAACAAGCTGTGCTGATCTGGAAACCTGCCTTGGGGACAGGCATCGGACCCATCCGAGGGCCACCCACGTCCCTCCTGCCGGTGGCGGGGCAGGTGCCCCGCCCCTTCCCTCTTTTGCCCTCACACCACAGTGCGGGACCCCCGTGTACCCTCCCTCCAGCTCTCTGCTGTTGCCTTACAATCCCTTCTTTCCTCTGCCCCCACCCTGGTTCACTTTGGAGACTTAATAGTCGGAATGCATGTACGTATTTAGCGCTTGATGTTTAAGCGTAGTATGAAGTGTTTTAAAAGAATTATTTACTTATTTTTTTAGAGAGAGGGAAGGGTGGGAGAAAGAGGAGAGAAATGTCTGTGTGAGAGAGAGTCATGGATTGGATCAGTAGCCTCTCCCACGCTCCACGGCCTTTCAGTGTACGTGCAGGGGTGCCCAGCCCGCAGGCCGCATGTGGCCCAGGATGGCTGTGAGTGTGGCCCAACACAAAATCATAAATTTATTTAAAACTTTTTTGCTTATCAGTTTTGGTTAGTGTTTGTGTATTTAATGTGTAGCCCAAGACAACTCTTCTCCCCGTGTGGCCCAGAGACGCGAAGAGGTTGGGCACCCCTGGTATGGGATAATGCCCAGCCTCCTGAGCCACACCAGCCAGGGCACATGTAAATTTTTTTTCTTTAAATTTATCGATTTTAGCCAGGAAAGGGGGGGACCAATTTGTTGTTTCACTTACTGTAGGCCTTCACTGGTTGATTCTCGCATGTGCCCTGACTGGGGATCCAACCTGCAACCTCTATGTGTCGGGATGATGCTCTGAGCAACTGAGCTACCTGGCCAAGGCAGTTTTCAAACTTTTTAGTCTTGGGATCCCTTAACATGTAAAATCTGAGGACCCCAACTAGCTTTCATGTGGATCATGTTGATCGGTATTTAGCATGTTAGAAATTAAAACTGGCAAGTTTAAAAATTATTCATTTGTATGTAACGTGACCCTTACATGTCAACATCAGAATGCTGGTGCCGTGAGTTGTTATAGCCTCTGGAAAATTCCACTGTACGCTTCTGAGAGAATGAGTGAAAAAGAGAAAAAGCGTTTTTGTGAAGAGCTTCACCTCACAGGCCCTTTGCAAGGGGTCTCTGGACTCCAGTTTGAAAAACTTAAACGCGAAAAAACAAGGTTCCGAGGCACTGAAAGTACGTGCCCAGAGCAGGGCGGGAGGTCGAACCCAGGGCGGTGTGGCCTCCGGCCGCTGGGCCTCCCCGCCGTGTCTCCTTTTAGCTGCAGTCATCGCCCGCCCCGTGCCCCGTGTTGGTGTGCGTGGCTGGGGTTAAGCCACCACAGGTGCCGTGAACCTGCTTTTCCTCTGCCTAAAACCTAATTCTTAGGTGTGGACACTGCAAGCAGTTCGCTCCAGAATATGAAAAAATCGCCAGTGCCCTGAAGGAAAACGACCCTCCCATTCCCGTCGCCAAGATTGACGCGACCGCAGAGTCGGCGCTGGCCAGCAGGTTCGATGTGAGCGGCTACCCCACCATCAAGATCCTCAAGAAGGGGCAGGCTGTCGACTACGAGGGCTCCAGGACCCAGGAAGGTGAGCGCTGCCTGAGCTGCTGGAAGGCGCAGGCACGACTCTCCCCGGGGAGGGGAGTCTGGGTACTGGGAAGGCAGGCAAGCTGAGGGGCCTGGACTGCCCCCTGGGGTCACCGGCTCCTGGGAGCGCTCCTTGCTGGGATGTTCGAGGTGTCCGAGATCAAAGTAGCCTTGTCCTTAGGTGAGAGGGGTGTCTTACAAGAGGTGGAGATTCTGGTCTAGAGCTGCAATTTTTAAACACTTATTTTTAGAGAGAGGAAGGGAGGGAGAAAGGGGGAGAGGAACATCGATCGGTTTCCTGTAGCACACCCCGAAGTGGGGCCCTGGCCCGCAACCCAGGCTTACGCCCTGACTGGGAATCGAACCGGCGACCTTTTGGTTTGCAGGCCAGTGCTAAGTCCACTGAGCCACATCCGCCACGGCTAGAGCTGCAATTTTTAACGAATGCGCCACAAGAATTTTTAAAACATGCGATACCTGTTTCATCAGGGGCACTGGCCTCTCTTCCCTTAGGCTGTCAAATTAAAAAATGACAGCAGCCAACACAACAATAGTCATCCAGTGTGAATGAGTCAAAATTACACCATTTTTTTTGGTCAGATCAGGAAAAAATACATATATTTTTGGTGCGCCAAAGAATTTTAGCAGTTTAGTTGTGCCATGAGTTGAAGAAGGTTGAAAGCGTTGTTCTAGAGCAGCAGTCCTCAGCGTTCCGCTTGCATCAGAACCACTGAAACGGACTAGGGGGCTGTTAAGACATCGCAGAGCCCCATCTCCCGTGTTCCCCGACTCAGCAAGTTGCAGGCCAGCTCAATAGCTTGCATTTCCCCCGAGCACCCCAAGTGCTGAGGCTTCAGGCCCAAACCCCACGCTGAGGATCGCGGCGCGGGGAGCCAGGGGCTCTAAAACCAGGCCTGTGGGCCCCTGCCTGCTCACACGGGGCACTAAATAAACTTTATCATGTGAATGAACAAATAAAATTGTGATTTCCTTTAGGAAGAGTGTATCTCTTTGAATCACTGTAAAAGAAATTAGGTTCCATTTTCCGCTCTCGGTGGGGGCACCGTGGGAATCGCACTGGGCAGGGCTCCCAGCCGCGCAGGAGCCCTGCGTCCTGGACACGCGCCCTCCCCTGGCCGGGCCCGGCGTCCGCAGCAAGGGATTGATGTCACTTGGACTGGACCTCAAAGTTCCCTTCAAGTGGTGCGAGTCTGCCCTGAGACGCTTTAGCACCGGAACACGCCGTTGTTGGGCGCGCGCTGAGACGAGGTGCTCACAGCCTTTTTTTGTACTTAATTGCACGGTGCGTTTGTCTGGTGACTCGATCCTGTGTTTCATGGGATGCTCTTTCCACCCTGCCTGGTTCCCCAGCTCCTGTCCAGGAAGGCGGCCACCGTAACAGGTTGCTCCTCTGTCCTCCAGAGATGTACGCATCCAAGCAAATGTGTCTGTGTGTGTGTAACTTTCGCACAGTTGTTAGCATATCTTAAATACCATCTGTACCTTCTCGTTTTTACTTAACAAACCTGCCTTAACCATATCGGTTCACAAGGAACTGAATCTAAAATCAGGCTGACAATAGTGTGCTGTACTGTTGGAAAGTAAATAGGCTTGTGTATTTGGAGTTCTGTGCTCAGTATTTGACTAGAGGGATGGTCCAGCTGGGACCGTAGGCGTGGTGTTTGCCATGGGGGCTCCTCAGCCAGCGGCCCTGTGAGTGCATTTGAACAATCGGGCCTTCCCCAAGGTCACTGATTTGGGGACTGGGTGTGGACGGGGCCGGCGGCTCATGCTGTGGGTGCACATTCCAGGCTGGGAGTTTGTGCTGTGCAGGCGTGGCTCTAAGACCTGGTCCTTTGTGGACTCCACAGCCAAGAAAGAAAAGGAGATATGAACAGTTTGGCTACCACTGCTCCTAAGAACCACTTGGAAAGTACTTTGCAAGAATATGCTCTGTGTTCCACTCCCATCATTGAGTTGGTCTCTGGGGACCCCGGGCCACAAGTGGGCACTCCCCCTTTTTTTTTCCCCAGTCCTCACCCAAGGTTATGGTTACTGACTTTTAGGGGAAAGGAGAGGGGGAGAGAGAGAGAGAGAGACAGAGAGACAGAGACATCAGTGGTTCCTTCTGTATGCACCCTGACTGGGAATCGAACCTGCAGCCTTTCCATATATGGGACGGCACTCCGGCTGACTGAGCCACCTGGCCGGGACACAGCTGGGCCTTTTTATAACATGACACCAGTGCAGCCTGAGCAGCGTGGGGGCTGCCGCTCTCCTCATTTTCTTGATTTCTGCATATGGTTTGTGGTGCGGTGATACGCTCGTGCCTAATGTGTGCACAACAGGAGGATGCCCCCCAAACTGTGGGTCCGCGCCTGTGGCCAGAGCACTGGGGCGTGACCACGCAGGGCCCTGTGGCCCTTGGTGAGAAGGGAGCCTCGTTCACCAGGCCGGTCCTGGGCTCCGAGAAGCCTGCTGTGCTCAGTCTTGTTGCGTCTCTTTCAGAAATTATTGCCAAGGTCAAGGAGGTCTCGCAGCCCAACTGGACGCCTCCACCGGAAGTCACGCTTGTGCTGACCAAAGATAACTTCGACGAAGTGGTGAACGACGCAGACATCATCCTGGTGGAGTTTTACGCCCCATGGTGAGATGGTATTGGCCTCTGGTCATTCACATGTTCATCGGGTGCCCTGCTGGCACTGGGTGGGGTGGCAGGGATGGCCGGAGAGCAGGGTGGGTGCAGCGTCCCCACTTTGCACAAAGGGCTATTGAGAGGGAGGAGGCCGTGACCTGCTGGCTTCCCCAGGGGGCCTGGCCCGGCACCCGTGGCAGGCACAAGAGGTCGGCTGGACCTCACCAGGTCGCTCAGGAGCGCAGGTTGGGTTTTTGCACCTTGGGTCACCAGGAGGCTGCGTCCGCGCTAGGACAGGCCCCTGACAGAGCTGGCTTCCTCGGGCAGGTGCGGGCACTGCAAGAAGCTGGCCCCCGAGTACGAGAAGGCTGCCAAGGAGCTGAGCAAGCGCTCGTCCCCGATCCCCCTGGCGAAGGTCGATGCCACCGCGGAAACGGACCTGGCCAAGAGGTTCGATGTCTCTGGCTACCCCACTCTGAAGATCTTCCGCAAGGGAAAGCCTTTTGAATACAACGGCCCACGGGAGAAATACGGTAGGGCCCCTAACTTCTAGCTCGGTGGGGCGGGCCGGCTCCTGGCGTGGTGGGCAGCGGGCAGAGCGCCCGGAGCCCAACCCCCCTCAGGCCGGTGCTCTGCCCACAGGGATCGTGGACTACATGATCGAGCAGTCCGGGCCACCCTCCAAGGCTCTCCCAGCCCTGAAGCAGGTCCAGGAATTCCTGAAGGATGGAGACGACGTCATCATCGTTGGGGTCTTCCAGGCAGAGAGCGACCCGGCCTACCAGCTGTACCAGGATGCCGGTGAGTCTTGGCCCCCTGTGCTGGGTGCCGCCGCTTTTGCGTAAAGGCGACGGCTTCGGGGTGGCTCAGTGAATTGCTGTAGCACCTGTGGGAACGGGCGTTGTGATCCCCCAGGTCAGCGGCTAGAGCATAGTTCCTTGTGGCCCTCGTCTCCACGGAGGCGGGAGCTGGGGAGGGCACAGCTGAGTCCCCCCAAGTTCACTGTCTCTCTCCCTCGCCTCCCAGGGTCCCCTTCACAAAGCCAGCCCCTCTGCAAGGGGAGGCTCTTCACCGGAGGGGGGAGCTTTGCATGAGGCCTGGGTGCGAGCCCGGCTCTGCCAGTTCTCAGCACTGTGGCCGACCGCAGGCAGGGCCAGTCGGCCTGCCGTTCCCTGTCCACCACGGTGGTCTCGTCCACCTCCGAAGTGGTCGCGTTCACTGAGATGATGTAGACTAGGCACCCGCAGTGCTAGAGCAGCTCCTCTGGGAAGTGAAGCTGCCCCGCCAGCTGTGGTGCCGCAGGTGCGGGCAGCGGTGGGCACTCCCCGGGCTGTGGATGGAAGCGGTTTCTGCAGGGACACTGGGACCCTCTCTGCCCTCATCACTTCCTCTCGTACCCCCCGACTCCGCCCCGCCGCCAACTGTACTCACACCGCAAATGCCTGGGCTTTCTACGTTAGAGCGCCAATTAATAATCTTCCGCACACGTCGTGTGCCGCTCAGTACTCCCTTCTGTGCCGTGCGATAACGGTTACATGTGTGTCACATGCGGCCTCACGGAGCGGAACTCACCAGTGGGGCCAAATCCCCTTCCTGCCTCCTTGGTCATTATTGATTAGGTAACCCTGTCACCTGCTTCTAACTAATCGGGAAGAACCCCAGACCCAAGTCACACTTGCACGTCCCGGGGCTGCGGGGGGGCCTGTGATAACGGCCTGGGCGGTAGGCTGGGCGGGCCGGGTCTGCCAGTCCGGGCTCCACAGGTCAGGTCGGACCCGTGTGCTGCGCGGGGCTCGGTCGGGTCAGGCTGCAGGCAGAGGTGAGGGGCACGGGGCCTGGTGTGCTGGCCCGTTCGCTGTGGGCCTCGGGGACGGAGCGTGACAGCCCCCCGGACGTGGGGTGTTCTGCAGAGAACAGGAGAATGGGGTCTGCAAACACGGGGCGGCTGACAAAGTTCTGGAGGCAATTCTGGCTCCTCGCCCACGGCCAACCGCCAACACCCGCGGCAGAGGAGGCCTAGAACAGGGTCAGGGACGCCAGCCTTCTGTGCGGGTTGTCTCACCTGATCCTCACAACAGCCTGTGAGGTAGACTCTCCTGTGTTTGCAGCCCACGGACGGACTGCGGCTTGAGCCAGTGAGTAACAAACAGCTAGCAAGTTGCAGAATTATGACTGGAACGTGGGTGGGTCTGATTCCGAGAGCTGCGGCCTCTCCAGGCTGCCCCCTCCGCCCACCGCCTCCCCCAGGCACGTAGTGCGCCGTCTCGGCTCAGGTGGGGCCTGGGTGCTGTGCTACGGACCGAGCGGAGCACCCGGGGTGCGATCGCCCCAGACCAAGGGCAGGGGTTGGCGCGCGGGCCCCGCCCGGTTTGGTGGCTTCATTAGAACACAGCCACACTCACGCTTCACACGTTGTCCTGCCGCTTTCACACGTGAGCTCGCAGTTGGGTGCTTGTGGCAGTGTGGCTGCAAAGCCCAGGACGTTTACCGTCTGGTCCTTCCTGGGAAAAGTTTGCCAGTCAGGTTTTTGTCTTGGGAGCCTGACAAGATTTAAATACAATGTATGTAGTAAAAGAGGAGGAGGTGGAGGAGGAGGAGGAGCTTAGGGCTCCAGGAGGTGCGGGTGGGAGAACTCGCAGGCACACAGCCGCTGACGCGCTCACTGTGACCTGGTGACGGGCTTGTCTGGGACCCGTGTGCTTCCCAGCATCGGGGACTGCAGTCGATCGGAGCACCTGACGGATGAGCTCTCAGATTTTCTGTGAACGTTCAGTTTGATGAAATTTTCTTACAAATTCTGAGATTCAGGTTTTAAGGTATTAGGTCTGTACAAAGGTGTTTTTTGGGGGGTTTTTTTGTGAAGGTTTTTTTTTTAATAGTTGGTTTTAGAGAATGAGGGAGGAAGAGGGGGAGAGAAAGAGAAACATTGATTTATTGCTGCAGTTAATGCATTCAGTGGTTGATTCTTGAATGTGCCCTGACCTGGGATCGAACCTGCAGCCTTGGTGCATCAGGATGGTGCTCTAACCACCTGAGCCCCCTGGCCAGGGCAGGTCCTGTACCAAGTTTTAAATCCAACATTTTAGCTCGAGGCGTCCTCACAGGCCTCACGGAGGTCCGAACACTGTTTCTCGGGCATTTGCTTTGGTTGATGTGGGCCCTGAGTTAAATCTGGATCCCTTGAGCAATTTAACAAATTGCGTATTTATCATTTCATTTTTCAGCTAACAACCTGAGAGAAGATTACAAATTCTACCACACTTTCAGCACTGAAATAGCAAAGTTCCTGAAAGTCTCCCCGGGCAAGCTGGTCATGATGCAGCCTGAGAAATTCCAGTCCAAGTACGAGCCCAGGAGCCACACGATGGACGTCCAGGTGGGTGAGGGCGCTCGCGCCTCGATGGCCCCTCGGAAGTGCCAGCCCCGGGGCGTCCAGTGGGCACGAGGATCCTGGTGGTGCCCCCATGGGGGTTCACAGCGTGAGGTCTCCCTCCGCCCAGGGCTCTGGCCCTGGGGCCCAGCCCACTGTGGGGCTCCCGGTTGGGTTTTACGGGGCAGCTCTCACACCCCGGGCCCCTGGCCGGGCTCCACCTCCCGTTCCCGCCTCCCTCGGGTGCCCCCACCGTGGGTCCGGCCCGTGGGGCTGCGCCGCCCGCTGTGAGCTGAGCCGCGTTCGCCGGCAGCCAGGCCCCGGCTCACGCTCCGGCCCGAGGCCACGCGGTGCTCTGGGGGTGTGAGCCGTGACGGGGGCGGCTTCTCCGGGCCGAAGGCAAAGCCCAGTGCGGCCACTCACCAGCTGTGGCACTCGGGCCTCCTGACACCTCCCCGTGCTGCTCTGCTCTCATCCCTGGACCGTCCCGATGGGGCTGACCCCTCGGGGAGGTGGGCCCTCCTGCTCAGTGCCCTGCGTTAACCGCGGTCTCCTGGCCACCAGGCCTTCCGCCAGCCATTCTGAGGGACGTCGCAGGGAGCCCAGCCTCCGAGGACAGGGCCCCAGGCTCCTGCAGCGGCCTGACAGTCTCACCTGAGGTTCTGGAGGAAGGGGGCCCCAAGGACAGCAGGGAGTTACTGGGGTGCACGTGCGCAGGGCCCAGAGCACCCCACTTTCAGTGGCGCCTTCCCCCCGCCCCCATGCCCAGTCCCACCTTTGCTCAGCAGCAGCAGTGACAGCAGAAGGTGGGCGTGGTAGATACACCCCATGTCTGTCAGCCTGTCCCTCACCTGTCCCCGCCTTTTTGCAGGGCTCCACGGAGGGCTCGGCCATCAAGGACTTCGTGCTGAAGCACACCTTGCCCCTGGTGGGTCACCGCAAGCCCTCCAACGACGCCAAGCGGTACACGCGGCGCCCCCTGGTGGTCGTCTACTACAGCGTGGACTTCAGCTTTGACTACAGAGCTGGTGAGGGGCCTCGGCCCTTGGGGGTTGGTGGCCGGGTGTGTGTTAGCTTTCTGGCTTCAGGGTCACTTTCCTTCTGTGCTCCAGGCAGGAGCTCGTGCCACTGGGCACAGGCCTCTTGGGTGGGTTGAGTTTTTGGCCAAGGTCCCCTGCTCACCCAGGTGACTTTTCGGAAATGCTTTTCTCTCCGATGGAGGCCTGAGCCTTTTCCGAGAAGAGTCTGAGGGACCGATTCTTAACCTTCATCTCCGAGACTCACGGCCTTTTGTGTCGTTTCAGCCACTCAGTTTTGGCGGAGCAAAGTCCTGGAGGTGGCCAAGGACTTCCCCGAGTACACCTTTGCCGTGGCGGACGAGGACGACTTTGCCACGGAGGTGAAGGACCTGGGGCTCAGCGAGAGCGGGGAGGACGTCAACGCTGCCATCCTGGACGAGGGCGGGCGGAAGTTCGCCATGGAGCCCGACGAGTTTGACTCGGACACCCTGCGCGAGTTCATCACAGCCTTCAAAAAAGGTGGGCCGCGAGGCGGGTCCGCCATGGGCGCGCCTGGCATCCTGGCCACAGCGCTTGGCGCCTCTCCCTTCCCATCGCTTGTTCGGAGCCTGATTCTGCGGTCCTCGCGGGGCCCTCAGGGAGGATGGAGACAGAGTATCCCCATTCTTCCGCTTGCTTGCTTTTTCCCTTTCCTCTACCGTTCCCTTTCCCTTCCTTCCTTCCTTTTTTCTTTGATAATAGGAAAAAGAGCAGATGTGTCTTAGAAATGCAAGAAGCCTCATTTAAAAAAAATATAGAACAGGCTTTTGGTGTTGGTGGAAAGTGTGTGTACGAGGAGCCTTGCTTTGAGGCATCACGCGCGGGTCCCTGTCAGCCTGGTGGAGCTCCGGTCCCGGCGCCCGCCCTCACGGGCAGACCTCCTGGTGCCCTGCCTGCCGGGCCATTCTTCTGGGCGCTCTTCCCCACGTGGCTTTGCCACCCCAGCTCTCCCTGGAACCCTCTGCACTGGGCATCTCTCTTGTGACAGCCTCACTGGACAGGACCCAGTGGCCCAGTCAGCGTGGGGCAGAACCACCTGTGCCCTCTCTGGCCATTGCAGGGACTGGGGAAGTAGATTCGAGGAAACCAGGGAGCCGGGGGGTGGGCTGTTGGGGACAGGGCCCCGCCCAGTGGGCGCACAGCTGCCACTCACACCCCTCCCCCGCTTGCTTCCCGCGGCAGGGAAGCTGAAGCCGGTCATCAAGTCCCAGCCGGTACCCAAGAACAACAAGGGCCCGGTCAAGGTCGTGGTGGGGAAGACCTTTGACTCTATCGTGATGGACCCCAAGAAGGACGTCCTCATCGAGTTCTACGCGCCCTGGTGTGGGCACTGCAAGCAGCTCGAGCCCGTGTACACCGCCCTGGGCAAGAAGTACAAGGGCCACAAGAGCTTGGTCATCGCCAAGATGGACGCCACCGCCAACGACGTCACCAACGACCGCTACAAGGTCGAGGGATTCCCCACCATCTACTTTGCGCCCAGTGGGGACAAAAAGAACCCAATTAAGTTTGAGGAGGGAAACAGAGATCTGGAGCACTTGAGCAAGTTTGTAGAGGAACACGCCACAAAGCCGGGCAGGACCAGGGAAGAACTGTGAGCCCTGCAGCTGGCGGAGGGCAGGAGGGAGCAGGCGCTCGGCTTCCAGCGGCTGGAGGCCGGGCGCGCCCCCGGCCCGGCCAGCGCAAGGGCAGTGTCTCGAGGGGTGTTTTTGTTTTGTTTTTGTTTTGTTTTTGCTTTTTGTTTTGTTTTGTTTTTAATTTTTTATACTCTGATGTTTCACCTCACACTCTGATACTGAATAGAAATGAATGATTCAATAGATTAGCCCAGATTTTTACAGAGGATACATCTATTTTTGTCATTATTTGGGGTTTGATTTTTTAACTTTCCACTTTCTTTAATATATTTCTTCAAAGCAGATAAGTTGAATCTCTTCTGTGAACGTTTTTTCTTAATTTAAAATTTTAAAAGCCTTTTTGCCAAATCGTATTGAAGTTTGCCCTTTACTGTGTATGCCGTTGTCTGAGGAATTCCTAGTCGGAGTGCTGCAGTCTCTCTTCTGTCACGGCACAAAGTGAGAGCCGTCCCCCAGTGCCCTGCCAAGGCCGTCCCTGCAGCCTGACCTCTGCACTGCAGCCGCGGAGTGTCCACACGGGAGCGGTGCCGGTGGGGCTGGGTGTCGCCGTGCCTTCTCCACGGCCCGCGGGCCGGCGGGCCTGCCCCAGGCCCCAGGTCCCCCGGCCCCTCGAGCCAGGATCCGAGGAGCAGCCTCAGAGAGAGAGGCCACCCGCTGGCGGACGCAGCCCCACCTCTTCAGAATGGACATGGCCTGAGGGGAGAGGACCGTGGGCACAGGCGGATGCTCTAGGGGGTAGAGACTGGGTGGGCTGTCGCAGTGGAATAAAGGAAATACTGAAAGTCAACCTCCGTGACTGTGTCAGGGTCCCTGAACAGGGTGGGCCAGGGAGGGCTGTCCCGCCTGACTCCGGACGTGCAGGGAGAGGGGGCCCTTGTGGCCGGGGAGGGGTTCCTCTGCTGGCCGCAGCTCCGGATCATGCTCAGGTGAGCAGTGGCACGTTCTGCCAGGATGGGGGGCGTGGGGCTGGGAAGAAGGCTGGACCAGGCCTTGCTCGGGTGGTGGGCTGCGTTCAGGAGCCCGTGCTACGGGACGTGCCGTCCCCTGCTCTGGATTTTGACTGGAACAGGTGGTGAGGTGGGCTTGCCTGAGCTGGTGGTAGTTGTCAGCAGTGACAGCAGGTCTCCCTGGAGGGGGCAGCCTAGGGGGACCTTGGCGAGTGGTCTGCTCTACGGCGGAGGGACATAACAGGACATTGTCTGCACCGTCTTAGTCCTCCTTGTCCTCTTCCATCATGAGAATGATGAGCACGCTGCCCCCGGGACTTTGTGCCATAAGCTCATAGGAGCAAATGTGGGTGTGGGACTTAAGGCTTTCTCTTCACCTGGGGGGCACGACTGTCCAGCTGCCCTTCTCTGGAGCTTCCCGCCCAGTCGGGAAGGCGCCCGTGCAGTGCGCAGGAGCCAAGGTGTCAGGAAAGCCCTCCTTCCCTCTGAGGTGGCCTCCGCTGGGGAGCCGGCTCAGCTCAGGGAGGGCAGGCGCGCCTCTCGGTGGCCCCGGGCTGCGGCCCTGGCCCTGCCTGTGCTGGGCGTCTGAAACGCAGGATCACAGGCAGGGCCCCAGACCGGCTGGGTCTGAGTCTGCACTTCCAGGAGATCCCAGGAGACGGATTTCACGGGCTCATGGTAAAGGCCCTGAGGCCAAAGTCACGGTGTGTCCGCCTCTGAAATACAATCTGGAAACCAGCTTCCCGGGGGCGGGGACTGCCTCAACTGGGGGCGGGGCGGGGGGAACCGCTGTGAACGAATCCACCCGGCTGGTTAGGGAGCTTCTGGACCCGTCGAGGGGACAGGCCAGCAAGTCGATGACAGACCGGTGTGCACTGTGGAGAACACACGTGCAGGACACGGCTGGGAGGGGCAGTCGCAGCCTGGAGCCTAGAGCGGCCCTTCAGGGGGGCGGAGTCAGGAGGAGAAGGCACGGGCTTCCCAAGTGGAGCCAGAGCAGGTGCAAAGGGACAGAGGCACCAAATTGCGAGGTGAGTGAGAAACTCCAAATAGAGGGGGAAATGGCGCTGAGGGTAGGAATTGAGGCCGAAAGAGGCAGGGCCAGAGGTGGGGGGTCGTTTTTGCTGTCAGGAGTTGCCACTCCGTGGGGAGGTGCCATCTGATTGAGATTTTACTCAGGAGAGTGACAGTTAACATTTAACATTTGCTGAGCACTTAGCAAAACCCAGCCCCTGAGCGAGCAGCCGGCTGGGTTAACCCACCTTAGTGACCTGTGAGGTGGGTTCCCCTGTGTTTGAGTTACAGCGGAAGGTGGGAGGCAGTAGCCCCGGGGCAGATGTCTGCAAGTGCAGAGCTGGGCCTTCTCCTTTGCTTTAAAAAAGAAAAGGAAAGAAAACCGGACCTGGTAACAAGGGAGGCGCTAGGCGGTGGCTGCGTGTTCATTAGGGGTTGAGTGGGCTTGTGTGGGGCCTCCAGGGCTCGGCCTGATCGAAGCTGCAGGTGGCTGAGGACCAGAGGCAAAGGCATGGCCCCCTGGTTCCTGAATTGCTTTGTTATTTAATTATGCCACTTCTCCATACACAGAAACAAAGGGACCTGTATAACCAACGCCCTTTACTCACCACCCACCGCAGACAGTTACCAAAATTTTGCTACATTTTCTTTCCCTGGTCCCCCCCCCGCCGCACCCCGCACCGCAACTTTCTCTTGGATGACACACCCAAGACATGTCTTGCCACCCCACGTTCCTGAGAGCGCACGTGCCTGCCGAGCCACAGCGCCTTATCACAGCTACCAAGGGAAACAATAATGCGTCCAGTGCCCAGTCTAGAATCCGGTGTCCCCAGTTCTCTCGAAGGCGTCTTTTTACAATTGATCTGTTTGAACCATCAGCAATCAGTGTCTACCCTTTTGATTTTGCCTCTTAAGTTTTGTTCTGGAGCATTTCCTGTCCCCACCACTTTAACTCACTGCAGAAAGGACAAGGGGTTCTATTGGGTCAGTTGAGTTGTGTTTTGTACGAGCTGGAGCAATGGTCCAATGTCACCGTCTCACTGGTGTGTCTAGGAGGTACCATATATATAGACACCTGGAGGGAACTGAGAGTGGAAAATGGTTCCAGATCTTACAAGCTGATAATAGCTTCCGTTGACAGGGGTTGGGGGGAGGTGCCTACCAGGTATCAGGGAATCGATGCGTGTTGTTATTAATGGAAACCTCAATCCAAGTTGACTCTACTGTGTGACTTTAGGCAAGTTACATCACTCCCCTTGGAGCTTACTGTCCCATCTGTGAGATAAAAAGCCACAGCCCTCTTCACTCAGGACACTTGTGAGGATTCTGTGTGATAACGTGGACACGGGGCTCAGCGTTGTTCCTGGCATGTGGCCATCCCGTGGCGGGCGGGAGGCTCAGCGCTGAGTCCCAGGCGTGGTGTTCAGGCTAAAGAAGGCTCAGTTGTCTGCCTTCTGAGTGGTTCTATGTGGCAAGTTGGTGCCGCGATTCCCAGTGCGTGGCAGAGAAAATCGGCGCACAGGTCTTAGACACCAGCTCGGAGCTCTGCGGAGCCTGCCCTGCTCACTTTGAGACCTTTCTTCTTTCTCCTGGACCTCGTCTCTGTCTGTCTTCCCTGTTCTGTGGGCCAGGGCGGGGCCGTTGACCTGGCATTGTGCAGACACAGGTGGACCTCAAGTGGAGGGTGAGGGGTCTGCATAAGTTCGGATTCCTGAACCCCAGGTCTGGTCTGCGGAGACAGATGCGGCAGGGGCGGAGCCTAGCATCTTTTGTTTTCCAAAGTTCCCAAATATGGTCCCATTCCACCCCCAGAATGGCGGCAGGACAGGCATGATGGCCTCCATGGCACAGAAAGGAAGTGGAAGGCGGAGAGGTTAGACAGTCAGCCCAGAGCCGCGAGGCCAGAGGAGCAGGAAGCCAGAGCTGGAACTCGGAAGCAGGGTTTCCATAGCGCCCGCCTTTCCCAGAATGTGTTGGCAGAACACTCCTGAAGGGGGTTAATAAATGCTCCATTAAAATGGAACTCTGTTTGTAATTCGGCTTGGGAAGTACTGGACTAAAAACAGTGCTTACCCTGGCCAAGTTGCTCAGTTGATTGGAACGTCTCCCCACACGACAAAGAGTTGCAGTTTCAATCCCTGACCAGGGCACATATGGGAGGCAACCGATTGATGTTTCTCTCTCATGTTGATGTCTGTCTGTCTGTGTCTGACTCTCTCCCCTTTCTTCTCCCCTCTAAAATCAATTAAACAATAGATCCTCGGGTGAGGATTAAAAAAAGCAAAATCTTTTTAAAATGCTTAAATGGGGTTCTTTTGAAGAAGCTCTCAGGTCCTGGAAGCCTTCAGTGTGCCGGGGACACTGCGCAGAGATGTCACTTTAGCTGGCTTCCTGGCTTCGCTGGCCCCAGACCTCGCGGATCCCCAGGGCTCCATGGTGACCTGCCCCCCAGTGCCAAACACTGTTAGTGCAAGTGTATTTCCTGAGAACGCCCCTGCCCTTAGCTCCTTCCCCAGACCCCGAGGACGCGCCAGTGCCTCCCCGCCACCCTCCCACGTCTCCCTGTCAATGTGGACCAGCCCTGGGTGGGGGACATGGGCCCGGAAGTGCTCCAGGAGCCCCAGGACACCCGGGCCCTGGGGCCCATCACAGCCTCCAGGGGAGGTACAGGTGTGTGACCCGCTGTCAAGTGGGTCGAAGAGATCAAACCCACAGAAGGTATGATTGCTGTAATTCCTTGACTTCTATTATAATAACTAAGAGGCATTTAAAATGCCTTCTGTGGGACCTGTGCTACGGCAAAGAACCCTCCTTCCTGGAGCCCACCTGGCTACCCACGTAAGAGCTGGCGGGCCAAGTGCGGGACTGAGGAGAGCGAAAGCCACGCGGAGCCCCCGGGGCCGAGCACGTGTAACAACGCTGTGTGGACGCCTTGAGTTGACCTGGCTCGAGGGCCTCCACGGACGCAGGGCCCCCCTCGACCACAACTCACCCTGCACGGAGCACGGTGCTCTAATCCAGCATGTTCCTGCCTTAGATCGCAGAGATACCATGGCGGAGAGGAGGACAAAGAACCACTTGTTATAAAGACTGAGAAGGGGGCCTTTTAGAAAGCAGTGGCAGGGGCTTGGCACAGGAATCATGTGGGAAAAGAACCCTCTCGCCATCCTGGATCTTCTCATGAAAAGAAAGTGGGCTCCGCTCCGGTTGGGTTGAAAACCGATGCCTCAACCAGAGGTGAGGGGGAAGTCGAACCCTCCCTGTCCCCACCTGCTACAAAAGTGCCCTCAAAAACCATAGATAATTGGGGGACTGGAGACCCCAGAGAGCTTCAGGGTCCGGGTTGAAAACTCCAGTGTTCAAGGGACCGGCAGGTAAGGCAACCATACAGGGCTGGATGCGGACCATAGGGAGTGGCGGAGGGCAGGTCATGCCTGCGAGTCTGCATTCCCCCTGGGGGTGGGGGGGGTGCTTCTTGTCCAAGGGAATCTGGTTCCACGGTTGCTGTTCAGACTTTTCAAGAAAAATGTGATATTGTGGGAAATCCCCCAGTTTCTTTTTTTAAAAGATTTTATTTTTCAAGAAAGGGGAAGAGAGGGAGAGAAACATTGATCAACTGCCTCTCACATGCCCCCAACCGGGACCCAGGCACGTGTGCCTTGACCAGGAATGGAACCGGTGACATTTTGGTTCACGGGACAGTGCCAAACCTACTGAGCCATACCCGTCAGGGCTCCCCCAATTTCTTTAAAAGATTTATTTATTGATTTTCTTTATTGTTGTTCAGTTATAATTATCCCAACCCCGCTCCATTGCTCTCC